AGACTCATCAACGATGTTTGAGTCAACCCTTCAAGCTCCCTTTTCAGAGGCCCCTACAAGGATTCATGTCCACCGAGAGAAGTGCCCCGTTGGGAGGCAGCCGTTTGAAGATCCTGAAGTGTGTCCAAATTGGTGGTTCGGCAGAACATAAGGCTTTGCATCGCTGCCGCAGCCTCTCTACCTCCATTCCTTTCCTCCTTCCTCTCCCGTTCCTCCTCCGTATCCGTTACGGCTCCAGCTGCGAGCCTCCGGTTCGTTTTCCGAGGTGGGCGGGCATAGCCACAGCACGTGGCCGCGCCATGCCGCCCGGAGCGGCGTCGCGGCGATGGGGTTGACTGCCTAGTCTTGCGTGCCCTCGGGCGTGCGCGACTCCCAGAAGATGCCGTTCGGATTCGCCTCGGACAGCGCGAAAAACAGCTTCGGAGAGTCAGCCTATCGACCCAGGGTGCCGCCTGTGACCCTGATCTTTCTGTTCACTCTCGGCTCTGTTTGGTCCGGGGCGCTGGTGCCGTGGAGACGTGTGGAGCTCTTGAAGGACGAGCTCGCCGGCAGCAGCGCGCGCCGTGGCAGTTCTTTTTCAGCAGACGAGCGTGCCACTGACGATACCAACGCCACTGTGTCAGTGAGCTTGCTGGCCTCCGTCGCCTACTTCGGCGGCGGCTTGATGAGGAGAGGCTTTGGGTACTTTACTCAGTCGTTCATCGGGCTGGCGCGGATCACGCTCGTGGTCTCCATCTCGCAGTTGGGAACCGCCGCGAATATGTATGGCCTGTTTGTGTTCAGTTATCTGGACGAGATGCAGGCTAGAGGCGCCAGCGCCATGGTCACCAAGTTTGCACTCGCGGCCAGCGACGACCTTGGGGCCTCCTTCAGTTTCTTGGCGTGCATCTGCATCATCTTCTCTTAGCTTCTCATGCTCGCAACCCGGCACTACTCTGGGACCTCGCATGAGCAGAGCGACGAGAAGACCAGAGAGAATAATATGTTCACGGCCCATTTGCAGGCCCACGCAGGCTACGGCCGCGGCGGCGCTCTCCAGAGCGCGGCAGTGCCGGCCCAGCCAAGACTGCAGGCCGAGCAGATAAGCGACCTGAGCGTCCGCCTCATCGGCGCGCAGGGCTGGAGTCCGAGGAACGCGAGGGACTCCTGTCGAAACGCCTCGCGGAGGCGCGCCGGACGAAGCGGGAGCTCAACAGGGGCTGGGTGGCCGAGTATGTTCGCTTGTGCGACGAATTGGAGGGGCTTCAGTCGGCATTCCAGGCCCAGGCTGTCACCGCCAGGGACTAGCTTTATGTCGGGCGTGTCCCCCTACAGGGGGATTTTCGACGAAAGATAAGAAATACCCCAAACAATACCCCAAAAAGGTCAACAAATATTCAAAAAATAGTCCCCAGACTATTTTTGGATTATTTTTCGATTATTTTTTGGGGTATCTTTTATCTTTCGTCGAACATCCCCCCGTAGGGGGACAGGCCCGACTTAAGACCAGCTCGCGGAAGCGAAGGGCCCACGCCATGAGGTGGAGCGCTGGAGGGCCGAGGCAGGACCGCTCCAGGCCCAGTCGGCCACCTCCTCCTCCTCCTCCTCCTCCTCCTCCTCCTCCATCTCCTCCTCCTCCTCCTCCTCCTCCTCCTCCTCCTCCACCTCCTCCAGCTCTTCCTCCTCCTCCTGTCCCGGCGGCTCCAGGACAGCTCCAGGCCCAGGCAGAGCGATGTCGAGCAGGGGCCTGAGGCTGCCCCGATCCTGTACGCCCGCGCCCGGCGGCGTGGCGACGGGCTCGCCCCCCCCCCCCCCCCAAGCTGTACGGGATGTCACGTGCTTTGTGGACATCGCGGAGGGAGACGCCTTTGTGGAGAGCGTGATTAGGGGAACAAAAAGTGGCATAAACATAAAAACTCGGAGTTCCGCGCGGATTTCTCGGATCTGCGCTGGACTCCCCTGGCGGCGCCTCCGGCGCCGCCCCTGGCGCGCTCCGCGCGCCAGGGAGGGGGGTCCAGCGCCGATCCGAGAAATCCGCGCGGACCTCCGAGTTTTTATGTTTATGTCACTTGTCGTTCCCCTAATGATGTCATCAGGGCGTGAGGTGTACGCGATACGCAGTGGTGGCCTTGGGATGGCGGGCCGCGCCCACAGCCGCGCTGGCGACCTGCGACTGGGCCGACAGCGGCACTGGCGGCTGCGCCGAGGGCGCTGCCGACAGCTTCGCTGACTATTGCTCTGACTGCCGCGTCCGCCGCTGCACCAACGACGGCGCCGGCCAACAGGTTCCCCGACAGCCGCGCCGACGACAAGGCGGAGGCTGAGGGCCGCCAGGACGGCTGCGCCGACACCCTCCCCGACAGCTGCGCCGACTGCGGCACCCATAAAAAGGATACGACCGTCTCCCGGTCAGAGGAGGAGGAGGAGGAGGAGGAGGAGGAGGAGGAGGAGGAGGAGGAGGAGGAGGAGGAGGAGGAGGAGGAGGAGGGAGGAGGAGGAAAAGCGGAAGCAGCCCATGAGGTCGAGGAGGATCGGCTCAGGAGGCTAGAAGGAGGCATCAGAAGAGGAGCAGTCGGAGGAGCAACAGCTGAGAAGGCGCCAGAGGAACGCGTCCAAAGAGGCGACAGAGGAGAGGAGCAGCGAGGCGGTCGAGAAATCGGAGAAGGAGGAGCAGCAGCTGAAGAGAAGGAGGAGGCGGCAGAGAAGGAGCAGGAAGAGGAGGAGAGGCATGTCGGCAAAGGAGGCCCAGGGCCATCAGGACGGCAGCACAGCCAGCCTCCCCGACAGCTGCGCCGACTGCGGGACCATCAATGCCGCCTCGCCGACAGCTGCACAGACAAGGGCACCAACGATGACACCGATTGGTTCGTCGACAGCGGCGCCGACTGCGACGCTGCGATCCTCGCCGACATCTGTTCCGACAGCACCGCCGACAGCCTTCCCAACTGCTTCCCCGTCAGCTGCGCAGGCTGCGGCCCCGACAGAAGCACTGACAAGCGGGCTTGCAGCGGAACCGACGGCTGCACCGACAGCGGCGGTGCTGCCTGCAGCCACGTCGGCAGGTGCGCCGACAGCTGCGCCGGCTGCAGCGCCAGCAGCCGCGCCAACTGTGGCTCCGACGGCCATGCCGACAGCAGCTCGGACCGCCGCGCACACAGCGGCCCCAACGATGCTACCGACTGGCTGCCCGGCAGGTTCATCGACCGCGCTGCCAGCTGCGCCGATGGCGGCTTCGACATGAAGGAGGACTGCGCCCAGAAGGCGCGCACCGAAACAGCAGCCGCCCAGGGGGTGGGTGAGCCCGCCTCGGGGGACCAGGGCGGGCAGGCCGTCCCTGCCAGCCAATGTGAATGGAACCCGTGTAGTACCCCCATATATACTCCTTATCCTTACCTCTCCTGCGCCTGGCCGTTTGGGCTCAGGTATTGAGATAGATCGATCAGACCTTGATCGTGCGGGAGGGAAAGATATCCATCTATCCCTCCTTCTCTCTACCAACGGATCAGGGGTTCTGTACCCTTGTACTTCAACCCCATACACAGGTTATCAGCCCTTTAAAGCTCACCCTCACCGACTCGCCCGCGGTGACCTCGCATGCGAGCCTGATGGAGCCACTTCGGCGCATGCGCCGCAAGGGTTCCATCGGGGCCTCGCGTCCGAGCTCTCCCACGGCACGACGGCTCGGTGACGAGTTGGAGAGCATTAGTGCGGACTGTGTTGGTGTTCCTGATACCCCCCCCCAGCTCCGAAGGACCCGAGGCGCGACTAGCTGCTGAACTTCACCGCAGCGCCGCCCGCGGGGGGACAGGAGAAGGAGTAGGAACAGGAAGGAAGGAGTTTCACACGCCGACCTTCGATCCTCCCTCCCCTTCCCCGTCGGGAGCAATCCCAACCGCGTCAGGCGAAAGCCTTACTGGTCTCGATACTCCAGGGCGCTTTCGCGCTAACCGCCGATGGACCTCAGGCGCTGGGACCCCCAGCCCTGCGACCGTCCCTGTGGCGGAGCACGTAGCCACCTTCGAGGAACTCAGTAGACCAGTGTCGGCACAGCCACAGACGCGGTACCCCAAGGTATCATCGGATGAGACACCACACACACATGGTCTGAGTCGCAGCTCGTCCGCGCGCAACCGCCGTGGAGCCCCAGGCCCATGCGGCGAAAGTAGGTCGAGCCCGCGCACTGCCTCTCAGAGGCCATGCACTCCCCGCGACAGGGGACACAGGGAAGCTGACGCTCCCCACCTCTCCATCTCAGACGATCAGCTGGCGGAGACGTCCGCCGCAGGTGACATAGCTGAGCTCAGAGACCAGGTTGAAACCTTCGTGTCCAGGCAATACTCTGGACTACTACAGAGCGTTCAGACGAACGCCACCGATCCTGCAGCCATACGCCGCGATCTCGACGGCGCCTTAGGGATCATTGATTCCAGGATCGCCGAAGATCGACGCATCATAGGAGAACTGCAGTACCAGGTTGATCGTGAGGTGTCACACTCTGGTGAACGAACGGCGATGGTCGAGAACCTGCGCAACTACCTCGCGCAGATGGAGCAACAGCTCGTGCTCGTACGCGACACTGGCGTTTCAGCAGTCAGGATTTTACATGATGAGATCCACGACCAGCTCCGCAACCGACCAATACCAGCCGAGGCCGCAGACCTTGGCGACGTTCAGTCTCAGATCAATGATCTTCGATCTTATCTAGACCACACTACGGCGACGCTTCGCACCGAAGCACACACCAACTCGTCGAACCTGATCGACATGTTGCAGCGTACTGAGAGAGTCATCACTCAAAGGCTTGATGCGACCAACGCTGTCGTGCAGCCACTCGCTAACCGGATCTCTGACATCGAGCAGCGTTTCCCTGGTGTACAGGGCGCCCTGTCAGAGTTGCGTGTCGGACGAGCCCAGACTGGCCAGCTGGATTCTCCTCCCGCGGTTTACGATTTCGCCCGCCTCGCTGACAGGTTGCAGGAGGTTCAGAAGGCGGCGGACCACACGCAGTTGGAGCTCTCCCAGGTTGTTCATGAAAGAGACACTGAGAAGGTACGTGTAGAGAGTTACCTCGCACGTCTGGAAAGCGAGATGGAGGCACAAAGCGCCCGTCTCCGAGCATGCGAGCATCGACTTGATCGGTATTCACAACGTTCTCGGGATACTGATGAGTATACACGCCAAAAGGTGGGTCAAATACACGAAGACATGACGAGCTGGACGAATCAGCTGATCGACCACACTAACGACACCAACCTCCACCTTCGACCTGCAGCCGACCCGCGCAGGCCGACGGCAGCGTCCGCCGAAGCACCACAAGCTTCCGCAGGACAACAACGACGTACGTCACCAGGAGCAGCCTCCGCGGCAGATTCTGCACAGACACGTCATGTGTCTCCTGTGCGCACAGAACCAACCACCGACGGTGCACCGATACCCTCACAACCATTGTCTGCGGTGTCGGTCCATGCAACGACTCCTATCAAGGAGTCAGACACCGTTCGAGTCCCTGTCTTGCCTAAGATCACGCAGTTGCTGGAGTGGCAGCAAAAAGTACGGAAGAACTTCGGGGCCGCCTCAGGGCGACCATCCAAAGCATACGCCTTCCTATGCGTGGCTGAACAACCCGAATGTACATTCGAGGATTTACAAGACAGTGGAGACTTTGAGAGTATCGATTGCAAACTCGCTACCGCTCTGAGCGACATCTTATCCTCGGACTTACGCTACCAAATCAGGCTCATCGTAAAGAGCACAAAGCAGGACGCATGCTCAAAGGACGCCAGATCTACTGGCATATCCTGCAGTCCTACAAAGTGACAGAAGTTGACGACGACCTGCACGATTCCGAGCGCCTTAAAGAACTGAGGATGAGAGATGACGATTTGCAACGTTTCATTACCGATTGGGACGCCTTACTCTTGGAATGCCGGGAAGTACCCGATCCAAAGATATTGGAATCGCTATTTCGTACACAGATTCGTAGACATGTATGGATGAAACAAGACATGTACGAGTACCAGCGCATGAAGCTGAGCGACCCGAATCGTACCTACGGTTGGCTTCGACAGCGTGTCCTGGACATACTGGAGATTCACCAATTGGAGAAGAATCTAAACAAGTTACGGTACGAACATGAGACACGATCTCAGGTCAACGTGTGCGCTGCATGGAAGAAAGGCAATTGTCGCAACGGTGAACGGTGCAAGGCTTTACATACATATTCCAGGGATTGGAAGAACAACAAATCTTCCAGAACATCAACGGCTGGTGGCAACCCCCGCCGTAGTATGTCCACTCCAGCGAACCATAAGAAGCCAGCATCGAAACCATTCTGCTTCGATTTCGCCAAGCGCAACACATGTACCAGAGGTGATAAGTGTAACTTCCTACGCGTCGCACAGCGCAAAGATTTCGCACAGAACAAGTGCACAAAAGGCGACAAATGCAAATACGCTCATCTTGCATCTGGTGCAAAGACTCCTGAACGAAGCCCGAGTCGACCACGGACCTCCAGTCAGGATAGCCGTGGCCGATCACCATCCCGCGGATCAGGAAGCCAACGGTCTTCACAACGCGGGGGGTTTCGCTGCGCAAGCGACTCACGACATGGACGTGACAACCGACGCCAATACGACCGATCTCGATCGACATCTAGGAGGTCCCAAGACTCTCGCAGTCAATCGAGAAGTCGTTACGACAGATCTTCGAGATCTACCTCCCGAGGACGAGACAATCGTGGCGGCGGGCGCGGCAGTCCACGCGGCCGTGACAGATCATATGGTAGTGACAAAGGACGTGGCAAACGTTATCCGAGCCGCGGATCGTCCCGTGGTTCACCCAACACCAGAGCACGTTCTCCTGCCAACTTTCGACGTTCACGCCGTTCAGACCGCAGTTACGTCATCCGTGACAAGACCCTCATGGCCAACACTAAGGCCACAGCGACATCTACCAAGACACGTCGTCGGATACGCTTCGACGTGCGCAACGTGGATTACTACTTCCATACCATATCTGGCAGAGCCAGACTGGATAAATGGAAAGAGCTGCCGAACGAGGGTGACATCGTCAAAGTACCAGACCCATTACCACAACGATGGTGGGATGAAAGTGCAGATGCCTTACGAGAATGTCAAAAAGAGGCACAACTATGGTACGACGAACTATATGACTACCGACGCAACAAAGAGTCGGTGGCCACACCAACTGCGATCCGAAAGTATGACGACATTGTCAAGCAGTCATCAAAGACTGACCAGACGACAACAACGACAAAGCAAGTCGACCCTCCACGTTCGACTGCAGCATTGACAAGGTCTTGGGTTCTCGACAGTGGTTCTGCTCATCATATTCAGGGAAAACATGAACTTACGCAGACCGAGTCGGATCGCATATCTATTCGCGAAGAGCATATTCTGGAAACCGCCAATGGTGATCGTACCGTCAATGAGCACTGCGACATACGGCTACCCGAGGTTGGCCTGCATAGTTCAGCCCTTGCTTTGCCAGACTGCCCATCATTACTATCAGTTGGGGAATTAATTGAGGTTGATGGCTTTCGACAGCTTTGGGACCCTGAGCTGGGCTACCTGCTTCAGGATCCGGGGGGCCAATGGTATAAGATTCCAGTCAACAATCGAGTGCCAGAGTTACGACTCGACGACTTAACACTGATACCACCACCACGTTTATGCACTTCGTCAGCACCCCGCCGTCGCCAGCGCAAGCGTTCATCCGCCCGCTGTAACGACGCTTGTTGGTGCTGCAAAACTACAAAGCAACCAACCACTGCAGACGAGCT